AGTTTGCAGGACATGTTCTCAGTCTATTTGTGCCTTTCACTTCTTATAGTCTACTCTTCACCTCCTCTGTAACCACACCAATGGCCAGGGGACATCTTTTTCCTGGGACCACTGCCCACCTACTGAGAAGTTAGTGAGCCACAAAGCTAGATGGAACCTAGGACCTGAATTCATAGTAGTACAAGGCATATAGAAAGAAAAAATCGGATGTACTAAAAACTACTGATATTTGTAGAATGACTGACAGTTCATAATGAGTTGCATACCCTCTTTCACTTCATTTCATCTTCGGAATAATGAGAGAGCAGCTTAGGAAAGTGCTACTATTATCCCAGTTTTACACAGAAGGAAAATAAGGCTCAAGAAGTTCAAACTGCCCCAATGTCACATCATAAATAAGAGGTGAAGTCGGGACTCACCCTTATAATGCTTAACATACAGGTCATTTGTGTGCTACCTCACTACTCTGGTAGGTATCGATAGACATAAGTATGGATTACTATGACTCCAGCCTTATTTTTCACTCAATTTCAACCATGTTTTTTAAATGGTATGTTAAAAGTTGTCTACTTGCTTTAATTCAAAGTTCAGTCTCTTCACAACATTTTCTAGCTTAACATCCTTTCAATGCCAATGGACCTAAAGTTCTTTTCTTGGATAGTTGCCTTTACAGTGTCATCAATTAATAATTAAGGAAATAGCTCATGTTGTTTAAGAACTGACCCATCGCAAGCGTATTCCTATTAACAAATATATCAACAAAATCAAGTCATAATTTTTTACTAATCATTTATTATGAGCAAGCGTGTATCAATGTGAGTGTGTGTTTGCGTATAAAAAGACTTGCCCTACAAGTCCACAGTTCCTTCCTTGATGCACAACTCATTGCATCTCAGGATTTCCTAAAATGAAATACCAGAAAGCCTGTAAGGCTCAATATTAGTCCGATATTAGAGAAACAAAACCAACAGATTAAACAACTTCGAAATGTAATGCAAATTCTATCGCCTTCTTTGAGAGTAAATCACCTCAAAATCTATGAGCTGTCCTCCAGAGAAGAAACCTATTACAATTCCTTTAGGCAAATATCTTCCAAATTTGTTTGAACCATAAAATCTTACTCCCTTAACAACTATTAACCTAGGACTTCTAACAGTGCTGCTCTTTACACCTCTTCCCCTCTGTATCTTATTTTTTTAACCACAAAATCAACAATTAGTGCTAATATATTAAAAATCAGTAATCTGGATGGAAGTAACTTAACCCAAATATAAAATAAACCATTTTTATTTAACATCAACTAATACCCCACATTTGCACACAATCCATACATCTATTACGTTTAAATAACTAAATTTTTTATTTGCTATTTTTAAAAGCGTAAGTGTCAATAAGCTGGTAATTGCTTTTCCCATGAAACGGCCTCCAGAGCATAACAGACGCTGGTGCAAATTTGGCGTGTTTTCCTACATCTTCTACACCTTTAGTTTTCTGTGATAATAAATGCTCTAAATAAAGACCCTGATAAATATGAAACATCAAAGAATAGTTTCAAAGTGTGTTTAATGAAAACTAACTGATAAATATCTCACCACATTCAATGTTGTGAAAATTAAGATTAATTGAAATAAATTATCAGGTAAACATCCCATACCTAACTAATTCTGACATACAGAAGTTTACTCTTATTTTAAAAATGGGAACAGGGGGTTAGAAGGTGAGTGGCTACTAAACAAATAATTTTTAAGTTTGACAAATTTTTTGCCAAATGTTGTAGGAGTAACATTAAGAATAAGAAGTCCTGCCCTGGCTGGTGTAGCTCAGTGGATTGAGCGCGGGCTGCGAACCAAAGCATCGCAGGTTCGATTCCCAGTCAGGGCACATGCCTGGGTTGCAGGCCATGGCCCCCAGCAACCGCACATTGATGTCTCTGTCTCTGTCTCTGTCTCTTTCTCCCTCCCTTCCCTCTCTAAAAATAAATAAATAAAATCTTTAAAAATAAAAGATTATATAATACATTAAAAAAAAGAAGAAAAAGAAGTCCTAACAGGAGCAAAGACAGTACAAGGGGGAAAAAATGGGACATTAAAAAAAAAATGACCTCCTGGAGCTGTATTTTCAATTCGCACTAATCTATCATTTTTCACAAGTTTAAAGTTTGTACATATTTGCTCAATTGAGTATTTTTCTCTTTTAGCTTAATTTAATCACTTGTATGACTTCTCATTTCTAAAAAGGTTTCCAGGATCTATTTTGACAAAAAGCAAAACATTCATATGAATGCTTATCATTATTATGTGTCTACAAACTTGGAATCCTCACCTTGTTTTAATAAAGCCCTAAAAATAGTATTCTGGTGATTATCAGGTACAAAAAATTAATAACACATTCCATAATGAACCACAAAACCAACACACAACTTGGAATAAGAGGACTTGAAGTGACAGCTGGCTCCACCACTCACTACAAGCAAGCCACTTGAACTCTCAATCTCAGCCTTCTCATCAGGCTAATGGAGATGCTATCACGTACCTCAATGTCAAAATCTGAAAGAACCAAGTAGATAGTACGATCACTACTTTCTGAGCATAGGATATGCTCATTGAACAGGAAAATCCTTCATAACATAGTTCTTCAGCATATATCCTACTACCTAACATAAATCACATCTTCTAAAACTTGCTTATCTAATGTTAGCATTAGCAGAAGCAATAAAAAGGAGTCCCATGCTACGAATTTTTAGTAAGTAACACTGAGTAAAAACAATTTTTTTAGAGACACATGGACTGATAGTCTCCCCCAGGCAATCCAATGTGGGGATCGAAGACACAACCCAGGTATGTGCCCTGGCAGGGGATCAACCTTTGGGTGTATAGGACTCCAACCAGCTGAGCCACCCAGCCAGGCCAAGTAAAATTTTTGTATCTAAAATATTTTAAAATAGGGCTATTTCTGAACCTTGTTTAAATAAACCAAAAAGCTAAAAGTAAAGCAAACGTCTCAAGTAATGGTAACTTTTCGGTTTATCTGACTATATTCAGACAAGGAAGTAGCCTATTTTAAAATCTATCAAAAGAGCTGAAAACAACACATTGAGAGCAAAATGGTCAGAGTTCTGTTCTGACAGTAAGAGATGGGATTCTAGTTTCTCCTTTGCCACTAATAATTGTTTGACCTTGAACAAGTCTCTGGACTTCAGTTTTCTAATCTATAAAATGAGTACTCAAAAACAGAGATGAGATCCAAGTAACATTGAATCTGCACCTTACTTCAAAGAGGCAACCCAGCCCAGCGGCAGCAGACTTGGCAGGGCTGCCAAGGTGGGAGCCCTGGCTCTGCCACTTCCACGCTCTGCACGGCACACACAAAGCACTCAAGTGCAACTTACTACTGACACTGACTTACTGTTAAAAACATGTTCCTGAAACACACAATCATGTTAAAGTACAAAAGCTTAGAAAGTTCAATCTTTCCCATTCAGGACACTGTCATTTTATTGTCTTAGTAGACACAATAAGTTCATGTGAAAGCATTACGATTGTCTTCAAATGTGCTAACCTAAGCCAAACTGAATCAAAAGATCATCTCATATAATATTGTGCATTTAGAGACAACTGAAAACTTATTATAAGGCTAATTATTCTCACCAAAATATCACACTGAAGGTAAAAATAGAGATTCTGCCACTTCTAAGGTTTTTTTTAAACTAATACTGCTAATGACAACAGAAGCTTATGATATACCATGATCTGCAGGAATGAAATAAACTCCAGAAATGGGAAAAAAAAAATCTGTGGAATTTAGAAATACAAAGGGACCTACAACCTACTGAAAATAAGTAGTTTGTGAATTAAAAGCAATCAGTATTTAATAAACACGTCATATGCCAGGCACTGTGCATACATTTTTAAGCAGAAATACCAAAGTAGGAAGTTCCTCAGAGTTAACCAAGTTGGAAAGACAAGTAGGTCCTTTATTATCACAAACGTTTTTATTTCCTTTGTGACCCAAGTAAGAATACTTCCCTTTGCCCATTAAAATTGATTCCTATCCGGGCCGCAAAGATGCCCAAACTAGTTCCCGACAGCTGACACCGAAATACTCACAGGACTTCAAGTGAGTAGCTTTTAAGACATTCCCTTAAATCCACAAACTTCGGAACCTGTCTTCAATGATACCTACACCTGCCTATGTATACATAATTGTGTTCGCTGTGTCAAATACCTTGTTACATCAATTTAGTTCATAAAGGGAAACTCTTCTTCTTCAAAAAGTCTGCTTTTTGCAGTGGACATTGGGCACTAGAAATTGATTGGCTAGTCATAGCTGCCCTATTTCCACTTCAGGTCCAAGGGGGAAAAAAACTGTTCCCGAGAGACAGTGCCAAGGGAGCATTAAGCAATCAAGAGGGTGGATGCTAATCACAACTTTCTTCTTCCCACGATTTAAGCGAAAGGTGACTGAGTGTGGGAGTGGGGCTTACCCAAGTGTCGCTGAAAGAAAGAGAAGGTCCACCTCAAAGGTGGGGTGGGACACAAACCGTTCTGGCCAAGTGACAAACCCAGGATGCTGACCGAGCGCGGATCCAGAGGGCCGTGGAGGCCGGAGACTGGAGAAGGGACAGCTCGGGCACACCGTGGGGAAATGGGAACCAGTGGCAACGCAGAGAGACCCTCGCTGCCACACAGCAGCATGTAAGGGGACACCACGAAGGGAGCGGCAAGTTAAGAGGTAGGGACAGCAGGAGGGAGACCAGTGCCGGGGCGACGGACAAGTGACAACTGCGAAAGAAGAGCACAGACAGCAGGAGGTGGTGGGACTCTGTTGAGTCAGCACAGCTCCTATTCAGGGGGCACTTGTAGGATCCCGACTGCTCCTCGGGCCCCGCAGCCCGCTGCCGAGGGTCGGGCCCGCCGGCATGAGAAATGATATTCACTGGCGGACTGACACCGATCCCTTCCCCATTTCACAGGTAAACACTGGCCGCCGTCGCCGCTTACCTCTGTTAACATTATTACACCCCAGGGAAGTGAGCTCCTCCCTAGCCTCGCCGCATGGCAGCAGCCGTAGCAGCAGCGAAAACTGCCCGAGCCGCCGCCAACGGCGGCAACAGCTCCTTCAGTCCTTTCCCGGGCGGTAGCTTTACTCGGCTTCGCAGGCTTCCCCCCGGCCCGGCTGCTCGCGACGGACGCGCCGCCATCTTGGAAGAGCGACGTCCGCGTCTCCCCGTGACGTGCGCTCCCATTGGCGGACGCGGGAGCCGCCGGCGTCTCGTGACTGTCTCCATAGCGCCGGCGCGTCGAAGAGCGGAGACCGGCGTCCGGCGGGCCACCCGGAGCAGGTGACTGGGCTCCTGGAGTCCGGCGCTCAGGCTGAAGAGGGATGGCGGGGCTTGGAGAGAGGCCCCATTGCCAGGCTAACGAAGGAGCCGGCGCGCACGCCAGCGGGAACCGCTTGTCCTCCGCGGCTCGCCGGAGTCGGCTGGCCCTAGGGTGGAGCGAGATCGACAGAGGCCGAGCTTTTGATGGATGGCGCTGTGGAGCTCGCGCGTCTCGGGGACTAGGCGGCAGCTGTCCTGTAGAAGAGCTTCCCCTTCTCATTGCCGTGGCCCCCAGGGCAACCGAAGTGCACGCGGGAGGTTCGGCTCGCTGCACGGTCTGGACCTTAAAAAAGATCCGAAAGTGCTTCTTGCTCTGTCTCTCTTTCCTAAACTTTGACAGAAACTTTCCTATGTCTGTACCAGTCCTCGGCGAGTTCTTTACTGGGGTACGCGACAGGTTGTGGAAGTGATACGGGGCGTATCAGCTTTACCCAGATCCCAGCAGTTAGGACTGTCGCTGATTAGTTGATTGGCGAGCACCTGCATAACAATGAGGGCTTAGAGAACTATAAAAAGAAATTAAAGTCACTTTTGTTTTTTAACAGCCATCTCTGCTGCTTTATTGGCTTCTCGACCCGATGTGTTGTCTGTCAGGGTGAGTCAATTTTAGCAGGTGTCATTGTAGTGAGTCTCAACATCAATGGGACAGAACTCTGGAACGCAGTGTCCCTAAAAGCCCCTGAGATAACATTCTGAGCCTGCCACTGGTTACAGTGTGTGGAAATGGAGGCAGTCATTTCTACCTCAATTGCAATGGAAGTAGTTTACCTGAACCTGCTGTGTTACCCACTTGTAGAAACCAGTTCCTAAAAATATTGAGAAGTAAATGTTCAGATTTGACATACAAAACCACCTTCCGTTTTTGTTTTGTTTGTTTGTTTCTACAAGGGGTACAAAGGCATTTTGGAAATGCCTTTGCCAGAGTTCCTTTCCCTTTGCCAGAGTCCCCACCCCCATCTCCGTTCCTTAATAATAGTAGTTTTCAGAAAATGAAACTTACTTAATACATTACTGTCATCTCAAAACATTAAGTAAAGGTAGTACAAACCTTGTGCTACCTCTATGCTATTGCATCCTTACCAAGGAAGCGAGATGGTTCATTTAGATAGGCAGGAATTAAAGAAAAATCCTGATTTTAGTCCGCTCAACTAATTGAGGCCAAGTAGGTTCTGTTGTTTTAATATGCGTCTGATAATTTCCTATTTCTGATGCAGCAAAATTCTGACCTCTGCAACACAATAAAATGTGTTACTGGTATTGACATATTAAACCATGAATCAGAAATAAGATGGGGAAATACTACCGAGACTAACATTAAGGGAAACCAAGAGATACTAGAGACAACAAGGAACCTGGAAAAAGATACTGTTCCAGCCTGTAAATAAGAAGACAGAGAGGGAGACTCATTAATATTTAAGGTTCCAGCTAGTGAATTAAAACTAATTTAGGGGTCTGGCTTGATTATTTAATTTTCTTCATATATTTTTCCAATACCACAAGCAAGACATTTTCACTTATTTTAAAGGTTATGTAGAGACACAACTTGAGGTTTATACCACCTAAAATATGACATAGGTATGCCTTTAATATTTAGGTGTATCTGTAGACCTCAGAACAAGCCAAAATCCTCAGCTCCCAGCGTTCTCAGCCAGGGTCCTTTTTGTGACCTAAAAAACCTTGTTAGCTAGCCTATACCAAATCCCTACAGTCACCTCTCTGACCTCATTTCTACTAAGCACTTTGTACACCACGCTACTGTAACTACAGGGCTTCCTCTTGCCCTGGGGCCTTTGCACTAACTACTTTCTCTATCTGGAAAGATCTTTCCACGAGATACTGCAGGGCTAGCTCCCTGGCTCTGTCCCATCTTTGCTCAAATGTCACCCTTTTCAAGGAAGTCTGCGCTGACCATCTCATTTAAAGTGTTGCCTTTCCGGGAGCACCCTTTCTTCCTTGCTTCAGTTTTCTTAATAGCACTTACACCTTCTAACATAAATACTATTTTTCTTATTGTCTGTCTTCTTTCTACTAGAATGTGAGTTCCATGATTTTTCTGTTTTGTCCAATGATCTCAGCACCTGTTGTAGAATTCAAGAATAGTACATGGCACAAAATAGACAATAAATATTTCTTAAGTGAGTGGGTGAATCACTTCCTAAAAGACTCCAAAAGGAATAGGCATAATTAAAACTGCTAAGAAACAAAATCCTTGATATTGAAAGAAAAATTTGTTTTAGATTGGCCATTGGTTGTTCTTATCATGCAGTTATGGGGAAGAATTACTGTATTTTTTGGACTATAAGATGCACTTCCCCCCCAAAAAAAAATTTGGGAGAAATAATGGTTTTTAATGCTGCTGTTGAGTTCTGTTTACATTTACATTGGTGGAATATTGTTATTTATGTTATTAAATATTTTACCACTTTTTTTGCTTCAATTTTTTTTTCCTATTTTCCTCTAAAATCTATGCGTGTCTTATGGTCTGAAAAATACGGTTAGCTACACCTTTCCCTTCACCATATACATTGCAAATATTTTCAATGGGGGTAATAGGAGTGGAGATAAAGGTAAAATATCTTAAAAACAAACTCATATTTTAAGCACGCAGCAAAGTCATTTTGCTAGCAAGGGAATCAACAAAATGAATAAGATGTCATTTTAGAGTTATGGAAATGTAGGAGTTATGTTGTTGGGAAAGAATGCTTACAGAAGCAGCTAGCTTTAAAAAAATAAAAGTACCTAATTTGATAGAGATTGCAGTTTTATTCCATGTGATCTTAAAAACATCATACCAGTTGTTATAGAGAAAACCTGGGACAGGCCGAGCTGAGATGCTGGATTCTTTGGCTGTCAAATTTAAAACAAAACAATCCATCTTAAGAAACACGTGCTAAGGATACATCTGTGTCTGTCATTCCCAAATGTTTGATCCTCCTATAGCCATATCCAATCTGTCTGATTAACACAGGAAAGGATGACAAAAAGGGGTCAGAGGCAAAAATCAAATGTCTGATGCTTTCAAACAGGCCACTGCCAGTGATTTCCAAACCTCCAAACAACAATTCACAATGTCCAGTTTGCTTATTTGTTAGTTTTTTTTTTTAATCTGCTACATATTGAGGTTGGCACCAATTTGCTATAATTCCTTCTGAGAAACTGGCAAAGTACAGAATCAACCTCCCAAGCAAATTGCATCTACCAATTGTCATATTCAATCTTTTGATTTCTCAAATCATGTCATTAACTTCAGTTTCTTCATAATGCAATATCATCAGTGTCACCACCTCTACAGAACATTAAATAGTACTGTGCCTTCATTAACAAGGTCCAGTAGTGAAGTAAAATGTTGCCAACAAAGGAGACACTTTCTAACAGCAGGATGTCCCTCTTCTTTGTTACAGTTTAATGTAGGGCAACAGTAAGCAGAAATCTCAGGGCCTTTATGCATAACCTGATATCTACCTCAAACAGCCCAGTGTGCACTTATATCTTGCGTGGTATTTTTTGAAGAAATACTGAGGCAATTTAAGTCTAACAGACAAATAATATAAAGCTTTGCTAACAGCAGATGCAGCCATAACAATAATGTTCACAAGTCTCTTCAATAATAGCTCCATGAAACCTAGATCTGAAGCAAAAGGACCATGTTATTTATATATGCACATTATAATATACATGTCTATAGTATATTTCAGAAGTTATTAAATCACTGGCAACCTCAGGCGATAGTTTATAAATTAAATATTTTTACATCACAAAAATTAGACCCAAGGCATTTTCAAACATTTAGTTCTAATCTATGAATATTATTTTTCAGATCTATTATGGGCCAGGTGCTATGGAAGGGATTTTACATATATTTAACAATTGAAAAAGACCATCACAGTAGATCTTATTACCCTCAGAGGTGATGAGAGGTTTAGTAATTTGCCCCAGGTCACCTCTCAAAAATACATACTATTGACAGGATTTATTAGTTGACTTTACTTGACTGAGGTAGTGTTTGCCAGGTTTCTCTACTGCAAACTTACTCTTCCCCGGCCCCCTCCGCACTGTACTCCTTGCAAGGAAGTTACTAGGTGCAGCCTACTCTTAATGATCAGGAATTTGTGCTCCTCTTCCTTGGGGTGGAGGAATCCACATAAATCATTTGGAATGATTTTGCACAGGAAATTTTTCTCTTCTGCATTTTACTGAATCAATCATTTGTTTCTATGAGTATGAACTCGCAGATATTTAGTTTATACTTTGGGTTAAATTCATTACTTTTTCACTTCGTTCCTCAGATTGTCCCAGCTTTGGCCATCGGGAGCTCTTTCAGTTGTCCTGTATTTTTTAAATATCCATCAGTGTCAGGTGACTTCTTTGTTTTTATTTTTGAGCACTTCATTACTTCCTGGAACAACATTATACCCCAGTTCTAGAATCGGCCACTTCTCTAGGGAACTTTGGTTCTTTTACTGAAGAATGGTGTTAGAAATCAAGATGGAGGCATTAGATGTGTTCTTTACTACTCAGAGTGCCCTCTTTTTTCAGCCCTTGCAGTTGACAAAGCAAGGACGTATATGGGTGTACTCTAATTCATATATAACATACCATTCTATAAATATTTCTCTATGGAACTATCTGTATATTAAGCTAAACATACATCTACTGCTGTATCCATTACAGAGGGATCATTCTAGGATGGATCATCTCCCCTTTGCTAGTTTGAAAAATCCCACTCCAACAGTGAGGAAACTGGTTGCTACCATCTGCCATCCATGTACTTAATTGTTCAATTTCAGTGTACCTGTACAGCAGTATTGTTAACCAATACCCTCCTGCAAAAATGACTTTATGAACTAGAGCACAATATCCAGACATAGGTTCTTTTGTTTTGTCTTACAAACTTCACTTAGTTCCAAAATTGCTTAGTTCAGCCCCATTCCGCCCACCCCCTTTATGAGGTTGTTTCATAAATCTATATTGTTAGATTCTCTTGTTGCAGCCCACTCTGTTTCTTGAGATTCCCCAAACTTCTAAATGATTTGATTTTTTAAATTGTCACTTTTTGTGCTGACTTTTGAAAAAATTGTATGTTAGTCATACAGAATACTGCAACATAAAGGGAAATGCATAATAAAATTACTTTTACATTTTTTTTTGTCTGTAGAACCAAATAACTGATGATATTGTAGAAACTTCACATGTCCTGCCTAGGTGGCTCAGCTGCTCAGAGGTTGTTCCGTGCACCAGACAGATTCTACCCCAGTCAGGGCACTTACCTAGGTTTTGGATTTGGTCCCCAGTCAGGGCTTGTATGGGAGGCAGCCACTCCATGTTTCTCTCTCTGCCTCTCTCTCTGTCTCTCCCCTTCCCTCTCTCTCTCTCTCTCTCTAAATTTAATAAACATATCCCCAGATGAGGATTTAAAAAAAAAAAACTCCACTTGTATATAAATAGTAATATCAATAGGGATATATATACACATATGTAATATTAGATGTATAATTCTCTATAATACCTAATATTAAGTTCTTACCATGTGCCAGGCTCTGTTCTAAGTGCTGTATAACAATCCAAGGCTCAGAAAATTAATTTTATTTGCCCAAGTTAACACAATATTGAGTGAAAAAAAGAAATATATAATTCAGAATTATATGTGTATATATACTATGTCTTCAAGTATATCAAATCAGTTAACTTTAAAAACTAAAACTTTGCAATGACCTTGTCCACAAGTTCTTATATAAATAATAAGAATTGTGATGAGCCTTTGACCTCCTGTTTTTGCCTTCAGCCAAAGGAGGAAATGAGAAAAGGAATCTGGGCTCAAAGACAAAACCTGGTACGTCCCCATACTTAAGGCTTACCTCAGCTAGTTCCATTTTTACAGAGTAAGGGTAAAATCAAAGACCGTTACTGTATTGCTTCCTACTTACAAGTTTAACAACTAAGGCAAAAAACTGTGATTATTCTAGGAATCATTACTGT